AATAGAAAAGCCCATCTTACACGAAAGAAAAATTACAAAATCAAGCGCTTAAAGAAATCTGCAGACTTGGAGCATGTTTGGATTGCAGTTAGAAATTACAAAAGTGTTTTGAAATATGTGAAACTGAGGTTGCAAATTGAGTTGGACAAAAATTGTTGTTTGGTTGAGCTAACTTTTTCAATTAATTTCTGGCTTTCAACCTTAGTTGGACTCAATGGAGAAAAATTTGACTTTTCAAACTACAATTTCAAATGGTGATTATCAAAAATGAGTATCCCACATTTACCCTCGCATTTTTCTCTCTGCCTCATCTCCTTCATTAGCATAATGAGCTTTTATTTAGACCCAATGAATTTTAATTTATATTCATGTTTGTCCATTATGTATACCTAATTAATTATCTATAATGTGTTTTTAAATTTTTCTTTGTAACAAATATTTTCATTTTATAATTTCACAAATAAACTATTTATATTTTATCATAATAATTTTACATATTTTTAAACTATTATCACATTAAAAACATAAAATTTCAAATACAACTATTCAATAAAGTTCATGTCCTTTTCAATTATTTTACAACTAAACTAACTTTTCTATTAATCATTTAAACAACTTTCAACTTTTTCAATTGACTTTTTAAAAACACCTATCCAAACATGTCCTAACTGACATTTACTTTAACTTCTTACAAAAATCAGTTGAGCTAAAAGTCAGTTTTGGCACATTGTGATCAGGCAGCGATAGGACTTCATTGACTAGTCTATATGGCTGAATATCTTCTTTGCTAAAATGGCCACGGCGGATTCCGATGGAGGAAAGAGAGGAAGCTAGTTGGAGACAGCGACGATGGGTTTGGGACCACGTGAAAGTGATGTTATTATAGATGATGGAATTGCAGTCACCGTAGACGGTGGAAGCTCTTTCGAGAAAACCTAAAGGAGTGAGGAGAAGAATTTGGAGAGCCTGGCTTGAGATCTTCCATGTCTACGACGGCGCCGACGACGACTTAATTATTTGCTTCAACTACACAAAACAGCATTTCCAGTTTAAACGATCAAGAAAGAGGGAGAAATGCGTCCGCCTTCCGCGCTCATCAGCCTGATGAGCGTGCTCAGCACTCGAACGGTAAAAAAGGGAGAAAAAGCAAACACTCTAAATTATTTTTCAGATATGTCAAGCATCCTAAAAATATTTTTCGATTCATCCATCACCTTGAAATATTTTGTCAAATCCATCTAATATCCTAAAATATTTTGTTATTCATCCAACGTTTAAAATATTTTTCAGATACATCAGTATTTTTACTGAATACATGTGAAAAAATATTTTAGAGTATTAGATGAAGCTTAATCCAAAAATAATTTTCATATACACTACCCCAATCCTTAATATAAGAATTGGTTGATTAATTTGAGTTGATTAAGAAAACTAGTTAAATTAGTTATTTACAATAAGTATGTGTTATCTTTTCTAAAATATTCTTACTAATCAAATGTATTGACTAAAACTATCATTATTATAATGACTATTTTGAGAAAAAATAGATAAATATAAGAGATAAAGTGGATTAGAATATTATATTTAGGACCAAAATAAAAGTTAAACAAACTTTCATATTAAGAATCCGAAATAGTATATATTTTTGCAATGAACAAGAAGAGGAAAAAAAGCACAAAAAAAAAAAGAGACTCAGGTTCCCACTGCTCAGCACCCAAAACACCAGCATTTTGAGTGTTGAGCAAGTCGTGCTCATCACCCTAATGCTATTTAATACATATGGTTTTCAAAGAAAATAACTATATAAATAAATGATAAAATAGTATATTTATGCCAAAAATTTAATGAAGTAACTTATATATAGATTTAAGAAAAACTTCCTCTGTACTTTATAAACAAGACGAATATTTTAACCATTTTTCCATATTTCGTGCTTCAGCAAATTGCAGTTGTTTGTTTTCCAAATGACAAAGACAATACACCTGCATGTGCATCCATTTATATAAAATATTTAGAAGGATCAATAATTTATCGGCTTTCGTCTTTTCTCTGCCTTATATAGGCACAAGTTTACATACATGCTTTGCATTCGGTAGTCATTATTATAATGCAATCTAAACCATTCGAAATCTAATATAGATAGTTTAGATTTAAAACTTTTAATATATAATTTTTTCAAGGATAAATTTAACTTTTAAAGATATGTTAATTATGATATTATATTTATTTTAAATTTGAATTTTGTATCTATTAAAACAAAAAGTTCATTAAAATATAGAAAAAATTTAAATTCGATCTGAACCATCTAAAATTGATCTGGATGGTCCAAATTGCGATGAGCACTCCATGCTTATCATTGTGATGAGCATGGGATGCGCTCCCGTATTAAATAAGAATAAAGTATAAAGTTATTATATTTTAATGAAAAGTTAATGCAGTTTAAAGTTTTTATTGTCTATGTAAAATATACTAAAAGTGTTTATAAATAAGACTAGAGGAGTATTAATTAAGTAAGTATTAGCTCTAGTTTTTAATATAAAACCTAATTGACTAATTTGAAAAGAAATTAAGAAAGCTGCTGAATTACTTTAAACTATTTATATTTATCTTTTTTTTAAAACTAATTTACTTTACTTATAAAGTGATATATAATCTAATGATCTACATAAGTATTTTAAAGAGATTATATAATATATGCTATAAATAAGAATTTAGTAATTTTCTTAATATTTCTAAATTAGTTAATTGGGTCTTATATCTAATAGTTTAATCTGACTCTTCTGGGTGCATTAAATAATAAGCGATATATAATTTTGAGATTGGCGATTTGGCAGATACATTATAATGGCTTAGTTGTCTCTAAAATGTCAATCTTAGGATTCACATGGACGTTATTCAATTACTTTAATGTATACAGGATAAGTCTCTGAAACTTAATCACACACATATATAGTCACATAAATAATATCATATATAGATATATATTACTTCCAGTCATTAATATAACATCTATATTAAAAACCAAACATAGCATATATTATACATAAGATGGGTTGGAACAATCTTCACGTACACTTCACCCTATAATCTTGATTACCTGAGCTAGTTTCCGGTAGCTTACACATACATTAAGTACCTAATTAAGCAATACCAATTATATACTCCCCTGGTACTTCATATAAGAATTATTTGACTAATTTGAGTAGATTAAAAAAAATTAGTTAAATTAGTTATTTGTAATACATAAGTTTTATTTTTTCTAAAATATCCTTGCTAATAAAATGCATTAGCTAGCATTGCAAAAAAAAAAAGCAAATTAATGATGGAATTTAGTGACAAAATTTTTGTCACTAAATTGGCAAAAATAGAACTACCATCTCATGTAACATTTAACATGTATAACTATTACAAAAATTACCTTAGCAAAAATAGATAAATATAAGAGTCAAAGTGAATTAGAGTCTTATATTTAGAACTAAATGAAAAATCAAACTAATTCTTATATTAAGGATAAGAAGTAGTATAATACTCCTCCTGTCCTCTTATCCCTAACATAGGAATTAATTTGGGAGTTAGATTTGATCCTAAATATAAAATCTTATTTCATAATATCTTTTATATTTGTTATTTTTCCCTAAATTAGTAACCTAACTTATAAGTAGATATATATATATATATATAATTTAATAATATTATGTAGAATATTTTAGAGAAGTCGCATATGTTATCCTTAACTAATTTATCTGACTCTTTTAATCTATTCAAATTACTGAAGTAGATTTTAGTTATATTAAGAATAGGAAGGAATAAATACTATGTAAGTTGGAAATCGGCCGGAAAATTGAATCTTAGTACGTAAATTAAATAACTGAAATTTATATTGTAAAACTTCTTCCCCTTCCTTTCTTCTTAACCAGGTGAGCTTTAAGGTGTTCTTAGCTTATTATTTAAATTATAACTGAAATTAATTTTCTTGTACTCAAGTTGTAATTATTTAAATTGGAATTGACTAATTCATTATTTGTAAACTAATGCATATGGATTATATTCATCTTGGTTTTTATGACACTCCTCTCCTTATTATGAAGCCATCGATTGTAATCTCCTACTTCCTGTCTCATTGTCCATGTGGTCTCCCCCAATAATAATATAATTCCATTCGATCTTTTAACTTTTTACTGATTTACAAGTAAAAAAATTAATAGTAGTTAAACTATCAGAAAAATAACATAGTTTTGTATAGATAATTATAACAAACCCATTATCATATTATTTTATATTTTTCCTTAATATTTTAACATCATTGTTTCCAATACAGGGTATTTAAAAATATTCGACAAAACTATAAAATGATTAATAAACGAGATGAAAAACACATTTTAAAAAATGCCTTGTACAAGACAATATTATTACCTTTATATTTATATATACATATACACATTTTAAAAAACACATTCTCAAGTTACTTTAGACTTGAGACAAATCTCAAGTTAACCTTGCATATGTGCTTCCTCGGATTCGAACTCGTATTCTCCTCCTCATAGGAGTAAGACCACTTGCCATCTCAACTAACAAAGTATAATTATTCTTGAGTTTCCTTTTTTAAAGGTTTGAATGGTTTTGCAATTAATGAGGGAAAATATGCAGGGAGTAGTGCCACATAATGAGTCAGAGAAAAATGTTATTATCTTATTTATGACTTAAATTATGAATTTTTTTTATAAATATACCATTTTATTCTTCATTTATTATATAATTTAGTTGGCAAAAAAATTATATAACTTAAATACGTACATAAAGAAGTTTTTACAGTTTAAACAGGTAGCTGCTTCTTTTTTGAATACTTTTTATATTTCAAAATAATACAACTTTTCTTTTTCAAACCATTGATGCTTTATATATAATCGATTAAATTGAGAAGATAAAATAATCAAAAAGATATAAATTCATGCTTATACATCTATATATTCCATTTTTCCAATCAGTGTCATCGTTAAATTTTCTGCATACCTTCAGCTCAAACACTTTTCTTCATCCTTCTCTTTCTCGCCTCAATCTCATCATCTTCGTCGGTCATCACAATCTGCTGTGTTTCAACGATCCCATATCATTGGCTTCTTTTCTCAGCAAGAACTTCTGAATCTTACCGGTCGAAGTCTTTGGAAGATCTTCCTTGAACACCACCGTTTTGGGCACCATGAAATGCGGCATCCTCCCTCTGCAATACTCCATTATCTCCTTCTCCGTCGGCGTCTTCTCCAATCCCTCCTTCAATCGCACGAACGCGCACGGTGTTTCTCCCCAGAACTCATCCGGCCTCGCCACCGCCGCCGCCTCGCTCACCGCCGGGTGGCTGTACAGCACCGATTCAACCTCCACGCTGCTCAGATTCTCACCCCCACTAATGATCACGTCCTTTGATCGATCTTTAATCTCTAAGTACCCATCTGGATGCATCACTCCCACGTCCCCAGTGTAGAACCATCCATTCTTGAAGCACTTGGAGTTGGCATCTGAATCTTTCAAGTAGCCCAACGTGAGGCAACCGCCTCGAAGAACTACTTCACCAAGGGTCGACCCATCTCGCTCCACGCTTATACCCGAATCCGGATCCACCACGTCCAACTCCGTCATCCCGATGGTTCTCACCCCCTGCCTTGCCTTCAGCCGGGCCCTCTCCGTCGCCGGCAACAAGTTCCACTCAGGCTTCCACGCACAAGAAGCCGCCACCCCACCTGTTTCTGTCATCCCATATACGTGGGTTACCACAAATCCTAACGCTTCCGTGCGGTGGAGCACTGCTGCAGGTGGCGGTGCTCCTCCGGTGAAGACATGAACAGGGCTTCTCAGTGGTTTCTGTCTTGCAGAGTTTGTTAGCATGCTGAGCACCACCGGTGCTCCGCACATGTGTGTGACGCCGTGGCGTTCGATCAGAGTAAATACGGTGGTGGCATCGAATTTACGGAGGCAGATATTGGTTCCTCCCACGGCTGCCATCCCCCACGAGAAGCTCCACCCGTTAGCATGGAACAGATTCAGCGTCCACAGGTAAACTGGATGTCTCGGAATGGCACAGTCGATCAGAGAATCTATGGTCATCACGAAAGTCGCTTGGTGGCAATGAACCACACCCTTGGGAGAAGATGTCGTACCGGAGGTGTAATTTAAGATCATCGGATCCCATTCACTTTTGGGTCGGATCCACTGAAAATTCGGATCACCTTTCCTCACCAACCCCTCGTATGTGTCAAAGAAGCCCTCTGATGATGTGGGCTCAACTGAGTCGTCGGTGATGAGGATGAGTATAGGCCGTTGAGTTTCTGGAGGCAACAAGGAGATGGCACCGAGGACCAGAGAGCGTGAGGCACAATCAACGAACACGAGCTTGGATTCACCATGGCGGAGGATGACGGAGATAGTGCGAGCGTCAAGGCGGGTGTTGATGTTGTTGAGGACAGCGCCGGCGAAGGGAACTGCAAAGTGGACCTCGTACATGGCGGGGATGTTGGGTGCCACGACGGAGACAACTTGGCCACTGCGAATTCCGATGGATGAAAGGGAGGAAGCTAGTTGGAGACAGCGACGGTGGGTTTGGGACCAAGTGAAGGTGGTGTTGTTATAGATGATGGAAGTATAGTCGCCGTAGGCGGTGGCAGCTCTATCGAGGAAGCCTAACGGAGTGAGAGGAGAAGAGTTTGCAGGGCCTGGCTTGAGCTCTTCCATGTCGACGATGATGAAGACGAAGAACTATGAAGGACTTAGCTTCGCTGCCCAAGACAGAATCAGTGGCAGTATAAAAGAGAGGAAAAAGGGTTTATCAAAAAAAAAAAAAAAACAGAGAGAGAGAGGAAAAAGGGACATGGTTGACGACTGATTTTATAATTATTAAGCATAAAATCATCATAAAAATTAATTTGAAAACTGACGTATTCCCTAATAATGAAGATGATAACTATAATTATGATGTTAATTATGAAGGCTGAGAATCACATATATATGTAAGGAAGAGGAGTCAGTTCAAGGGCAAGTAATAGGATAAGAAAATGGCATAGAGAAAGGAGGGATGCAGACTATTATTGATCCTTGCAAGTATTTTATATAAATGGATGCATCCAATTAGTTCATTTTATTAAATTGAAAAAATAGAAAAACTACAATGTCCTTGTGCACAAAATGGTTAAAATATAGGTTTTGTTTTTTCTTAATAAATTAAAATAAACTTTAAAATTATAGTAATTTTTTTAATCTCCATCCTACCATGTAAACACCCAAGATGAGGGTTTAGTAATGCTTAGTAAGATTTTATAAAAAGAATCAAAATAATTCAAATTTTAGTATCTTATAAATAGCACCTGTAAGGGTATAATTTGACTCTTGGGGTTACATAAATTAATGGCCGTTGATGTTGAAATTAGCAATTTGACAGATAAGCTATAGTGGCTCGGTTGTCTCAAAAAGTCAATCATAGGTTGGGACTCACATGGGATACTAATCTGCCCAATTATGTATGATTTCTCCAAGCTAAACATCATATGCTCTAGTTAGTCTACTAACAAACAAAGTACTCCTTCGTTTTTTATTATGAACTTTAAGTAATTAATTTGTGTATAATAAAAAATTAGTTAAAAAATAATAATTTTAATTTTCAAATATGCCTCTGTAATAAATGAGAAAAAGAATGAACAAGATTGTATAAAAAAATATGATGAGAGAGTGTGTGACAAATAAGAGATTAAGAGAATAAATTAATTAAGGACAGAATTGAAAAAAGACACATTAAATATTAAGACAAACTCAAATTAATGCTTATAAAATAGATAATTTCAGCTTTTTGAAAAGTTTAACCATCACAAACCAAACAACTGAAACTTAATTATTTTTGGAAGGGTTAATACAAACTTTGATCCTTCAAATTTACCATCATATTGGTTTTGGTTCCTCAAGTTTCAAACCATAAGTTTTGGTCCCTCAAGTTTCTTTTCATTTAAAACATTGGCTCCTATAATCCAATAAAAAATTAGACCATTTTACTCCTTGAGAAATCAAAACCTATGGTTTGAAACTTGAAGAACTAAAATCAAAATAAAAGACAAATTTGAGGGACTAAAGATTATATTAATTTTTTTTGGAAAGTGTAACCCTCTTCCCCTTCCTTGAGATATGATCAAAAGTCAAAACTAATAAATTCCAATAAAGTTCTTATCTCATCCTCTACTACAAAAGTAATAACGCTTTCATTTGAATTTCTAGATTACCAACTAAATAATTTACGTTGATAATAAATGAAATTATATCAATGAGTAATTAAATAGAAGTGAAATGAAAAATTGACCAAAAAAAATTGAAAATAACTTCTAAGTGTCTTTTACAAATAAGAAAATCCATACTAAAAAATTATCTCTTACAAAAACAAATGGAGGAAGTAGTATATCTTTCGGAGTCCAAAAGCTGTCATGATACATATAACCAAGTTTCCAAATTAATCTCCATTTTTTAAGTTCTTCTATTCTTATAGCATCATTTTTTCTAATCTTTGCGCTCTAGCATGTTGTTGATAATTCAATCTCTTCATTGTAATGCTCTTTGTCTATTTTTATAGACGAATCTACATTAAAATTATTGATTCACAAGACAAATAGCAGTTTAGTTTGCTTTGAAAGAAGCCAAAAAAATAATAAATAGTTGGGAATTACATAAATGGTATCATAGGAATACAGAGGAACATTATTTAGCCAGGACGTATTCATCTTGTTTTTCAAAACATGCTCTTCTCCTTTGCTTTTATTTTTATTTTATTTTTTTAAGCGGAAACAAGGTATCGTTAATCCGAGGAAACAGAGAGAAGATCGTAACAAAAGGGAATTAGACCAAGGTAATTAAGTTAATGAAAATTAAAAATGAAGTTTATAGCATTACAAGTATAGTTCTTTAATTTCTTTCCCGCGTTAATGTCAACACATAAATCTTCGTCATAGTCTGCTGTGTTTCAAGGACCCCATGTCTCTAGCTTCCTTTCTCAGAACGTACTTCTGAATCTTACCCGTCGAAGTCTTGGGAAGGTCCTCCTTGAACACCACCGTTTTTGGCACCATGAAGCGTGGCATCCTCTCTCTGCAATACTCCATTATCTCCTTCTCCGTCGGCTTCTTTTCCAATCCCCCCCTCAGGCTCACGAATGCGCACGGCGTCTCTCCCCAGAACTCGTCGGGCCTCGCCACCACCACCACCTCGTTCACCGCTGGGTTGCTGTACAGCACCGATTCAACCTCCACGCTGCTCACATTCTCACCGCCACTGATGATCACGTCCTTTGATCGATCCTTAACCTCCAAGTACCCATCTGGATGCATCACTCCAACATCTCCGGTGTAGAACCAGCCGTTCTTGAAGCACTTGGAGTTCGCATCTGGATCTTTCAAGTAGCCCAACATGACAAATGCGCCCCGAACAACCACTTCCCCAAGGGATGACCCGTCACGTTTCACGCTTTTACCCGAATCTGGATCCATCACGTCCATCTCCGCCAGCCCGATTGTTCTCACACTTTGCCTAGCCTTTAATCGTGCCCTCTCCGTCGCCGGCAGCAAGTTCCACCCAGGCTTCCACGCACATGTAACTACCACCCCTCCAGTTTCTGTCAATCCATACCCGTGACTCACCACAAATCCTAACGCCTCTGTTCGGTGCAGCACTGCCGCTGGCGGCGGTGCTCCCGCGGTGAGAACTTGAACGGGGTTTCTGAGAGGTTTTTTCGTTGACGAGTTAGTTAGCATGTTGAGCACCACCGGTGCAGCGCACATATGTGTTACACCGTGGTGTTCGATGAGACTGAACACGACTGCGGCGTCAAATTTACGGAGGCAGATATTGGTTCCTCCGACGGCTGCCATCCCCCACGGGAAGCTCCACCCGTTAACGTGGAACATGCTCAGCGTCCAGAGGTAGACCGGCCCTTTGGGGACGGCCCAATCAATCAGAGAATCGACGGTAATGACGAACATACCTCGATGGCAATGAACCACCCCCTTTGGAGACGAAGTCGTTCCGGACGTGTAATTCAACACCATCGGATCCCACTCACTTTTGGGTCGGATCCACTGGAAACTCGGGTCACCCTTCGCCACCAACCCCTCGTACGTATCCGAGAAGCCCTCCGATGATACGGGTTCCAATGAGTCGTCAGTGATGAGGATAAGGATAGGACGTTTAGTCTCAGGAGGCAGCAAGGAAATGGCGTTGAGTACCAAAGCGCGTGAGGCACAGTCGACGAACACAAGCTTGGATTCGCCGTGGCGGAGGATGACGGAGATGGTGCGAGCGTCCAGGCGGGTGTTGATGTTGTTGAGGACGGCGCCGGCGAAGGGAACTGCAAAGTGGAGCTCGTACATGGCGGGGATGTTGGGTGCCACGACGGACACGACATGGCCACGGCCGATTCCGATGGAGGAAAGAGAGGAAGCTAGTTGAAGACAGCGACGGTGCGTTTGGGACCAAGTGAAAGTGGTGTTGTCATAGACGATAGAAGTGCAGTCGCCATAGACGGTGGAAGCTCTATCGAGAAAGCCTAAAGGAGTGAGAGGAGAAGAATTTGCAGAGCCTGGGTTGAGATCTTCCATGTGGAGGATGATGAGGAAGAAGTAGGACTGAGCTTCCGCCGCACAAGACGGCAGTTGTAGTGCAATACACAGGGAGATAGGGAAACGGGGAGGCAGGTGAGGAGTAATGTATAATAATAGTGCTTAGTTGTCTCAAAAAGTCAATCACTGGGACATTAATAAGCCTTAACGTGCAGCATAAGTATTTTATCAAGTGTGTTCATTGTCAAAGTATTTTAATCTCAAATTTCTTTTTAATATCTTACAATATTTTTTAGATGTATTTAATACTCTAAAATATTATTTGGTCTACCTAGCATCAAAGTAAGAAAAATAGTCTAGGGTGCTAGACTCACTTGGAAAATACTTTATATTACTAAGGTGGTGTTTAGCATTAAGGAAAAGTGTTTTTAAAAAGTATTTTTCTGCAAAACGAGACAAACTCCTCCATATATTTACTTCGTATACTGTAAAAGTATTTTTAAAATCATAGTTTGAGTTCTATCCAAACACTCTCTAAATAAACCACAAAATACTTAAGAGTATTGGAGGCACCTGAAAAGACCCCTTATGTGCATATGATTAATTCTCTATATTGATAACATGCCTTCAACTTGGAATCAGGTTTGGTGCTTGTTGTTTTGATGAATGCCCTAAGCTTATTAGCTCTAGACTGTCCATATTTCATTGGGATGGTCTGGATTTGATTTTTTTATTTTTATTTGTTTAAAATAATTATTTTAATATGTATAGAATCTAAAATAAAGATAATCTCTTAACTATTATTTTTTTTTCAAAAAATAGTTTTTTATTTGAAAATAATTAATTAAATATTTTAAATCTAGACTGTTCAAATATAGATGATATAAATTTAATAAGCTTAAGATACTCATCAAAGTGATGAATACTGAAACTGGTTTCCATTCCACCATCTCATATCAATATTATGACGGCTTATTAATTAGCTATATATGGGCCATAAATTTATTTATAGAAGAATTACAATGAAATCCCAAACAAGAAAAATAATTAAAAAATAAGTTCCAAATATTGTCATTCTTACTATAAAACTTGTCATTATATACTGTTGAAGTTGTTATTGAGACTTTTTAATAATTATTTTTCTTCTGTAGAACTTGATTATAATTCTCTTTTTATTTATTTTAGGTACTAACTAAACTATTTGTCATTTTCGGCGGGCCACATCCCTCCTCACCGCCGCCAGTCCCCGCAAGATCTATGAGAAGCTAGATGCTCCCTTCAATTCCACTTTCCACGTATAATTAAAAGTTATTGAATTATTTGTGGGGATTTTGGGCTCACCGTTGTTTTGGTCAAAATTTTGGCTCACTTGTTATGAGATACTTTAACATTTTTACACATATTAAAACATTATTATATTATTTTATCAAAAAAGAGTTGTACTCCATCTTTATTAATAAAATGACTATTTTGATAAAAAATAATAAAAATGAATATGAAACCTCCTCTCACACTTCGTAAAGAACTTGATATATAGAATTTTTTGGGCGAAAATTTAAAAAAAAATTATTGGATACTTTTCTTATAACACCATATATTTTGAATCAAGAAAGCCTTTTATAGGAGATGACTTAATTTTAAATAAGAAGAGGAGAAAGGAGTAGATTATAAGATGATTACAATGAATTAAAAGACAGCTTTATTACAACTAAATAAAAAGATACATAACAACTATATAGACTTAGGCCTAACAACACTAGAAAAAGAAGCTAAGAAAGCTCAAGTCATGTTATGTTATAATTAAAACTAGGAGAAAGTTAAACAGAGACAACCATGCAGAAATGAAAAAACACAGTCGAGAAGGTGAGATCGTATCCAACATATAAATATCTTTTTAGTTTATCATATTAGGAGATTTTACTAAGTATATACAATGTTATTTTTCCAAATAACAAAAATAATATTTATAATTTAAAATATAAAGTCCTAATAAAAATTAGGAAAAATTACTATGAAGTCTAAAAAAAGAATGCAATGACTAAAATGTCTTACCGAACTTGTCATTGTTTGTGGGATTTGTTCAGTTATTACATGTTCATTTCCTATACCTTCTAATAATTATCTCTAAAAATTAATCTAAGGAAGCGTTTGGATGGAAATCAAACCATGGTTTCAAAAGTGTTTTTACAGTTTATGAAATACATATGTAGAGGAGTTTATCTCGTTTTGTAAAAAATTGCTTTTTAAAAGTACACCCCCAAAACTAACGTATTCAATAATAATAAAGATGATGAAGCCGATGAGGTTGAAGAAGAAGGCACGGACAACTAAGGGCAAGATAAGCAGAAGGGAGAGAAAGTAATTAGGAAGGTATAGAGAAATTATTATTAATATTTTATATAAATGGATGCATGCAAATGCATTGTCTTTGACGTTAATGGTTGAAACATATATAGGTTTTGTTTTGTCCTATATGCCATATGAAAATTAATTTTCTGTTCATCCCACCATGAGATGACCATTCAAGATGATCCAGATTTGATATGGAGTAACGATTAGAATATAGTTTAAATCTTGTGGATACAAAAAATAATGATTAAGGAATAATTAATACCCTTGCTTTTTTTTCCCAATTACTATGCTTAGCAATATATAACTAATGCATGGTTTTTTAACATTGAGGAATTACATGAAAATTAAAAAGGGAAAGTTACAAAAACGATGTTATGCTAAAATTATATTATTACTCATTAAGTTAATTGTCTTGCTTAAGTTAATTGTGTGAAGAACTTAACAGAAATTTAAAAGAAACAGAGGGATTACTTCTTGTTTAATTTGTCGATATGTTATTATAACTTTGATTAGCAAACTTTGTGTAATTGAAGTCATTAGATTCACATGGGATCTTTTTTTTTTTGCAAGCAGATTCACATGGGATTTTAATGAATTCCACTTAATATGATTCTCCAAATCATATATTACAAACTAGTTCCGGTCCTACATATAAAATGTAGCTTGTATATGTTAATAAACTTGTATAATATTAATCGGATTCTATTCAATAAAAATGTTATATTACATAAAATTGAAATATATCTCATTATAAAATTCTTACTTGAATTGGATTTTGTAAAAAAAAGATTTGTTCTTCATTTATTTTGTTTATATTTTTCCCGATAGAAATAGAAGAATATTAATGAAGGACTCGAAAATTTTAAAGTAAAAAGCTCTTATTTGTGGGGAAAATCTCGGTGGGATGAAAATACTCTCTTTCAGCCCCAACGTTAATTTACCACGATGAAGGCAACGCCTTTGTTGTGAAGGTAAAGGCTGAACATGGGAAACCAGGGAAGTGTTGTTGAGCAATAGGGGCTCATCTTTCCTTGACCAAGGTCAGGGGTTCGGTCTTTGCTTAGGCATAGAAAGCGTTAAATTTTCTGGCTAGCTATCTCACCCTTTGGGTTGCCTAAAATTAGTGAATCCAAAATAGTTTGAGTCGTTGATGTACTTGAAAGATGGTCAGTTTAGGATACTGGATGAGGTCACTCAAAAAAAAAAAGGCTGAACATGGGATATCCATTATTTACAAGTCTTTATTTTTATGACTTACTACTTCGTTTTTACATAATTTATGAATAATTTTCAACAATTTAAAAGTGAATTATGTAGAAAAAAATTAAGGTGAGAAGGTTAGAACTTTTTTACAAATTAAACTTTTATTTAATTAGCATATTCTTCCAAAGTAAAGTAATTAATTACAGGTAGGGAATATCCAGGTTAAAATTACAGAAAATTTATTTGATTTCATGTTGCTGATGTAAATTTATTTTACCTTTTTTTTATAGTGGAAACAAAATAGTATTAATCAGAAGAAACAGAGCACAAATGGATCATACAAAAGAGAATGAGAGCAAACAAATTAAGTGAAAGAAATTTACAAATGTTTCGTGTTATTACAGGTATTGTTATCAAAGATTATTATTTGGTGCTTACTATAGCGATGAACACCGAGTGCTCGTCATTATAATGAGATTAAAACCGTTAAAATTTAAAATTAATGGTCCAAAATTTAAAATTTTTAATTTATGATTTTTTTAAATGATAAATTTATTTTTTAGAAGTAACAACTATAAATTATCTTCATTTTAAAATGTAAAAATTAAATTAAGTTTTAACTGTTCAAATTAATCTACACAGTCCAAATTAAATTACAGAATGCTTATTAAAATGATGAGTATAGAATGTGCTTGTAATTGTCAAAACACTGAAGAGAAAAAAGAGTGGAAGCATATGATCTCATAGTCCTTTCTCTGATTTTTCTTTCCGTATCCCATCTCTATGGCTAGATGAAAAAAGATAGATGATTTAAATTTAATATTTTATAAAGATATTATTATAATATGAGATAAATTATATTTTTATTATTTTATATATTGCAATTGTGGACAGTCTAAATCAAATACTAAAAGTTAAAATTTATTTTTAATGTAATAGTAGAATATGTTATAAACTATGAAATCCTAACCTTCATTTTTTAATCTATGGACGGAGAAGGAATTCAAAGAGGAAAGGAAGACACAATAATTATGAGAGGGGGTCCATCCAAATCCAAAATGGGAACACATTCCATGCTCATAAGTTGTTCCGTCTTTTCCCGTGAATTTTAATCCATCTCAAAAATTGTACTCCTCCGGTCCTTATTATAAGACCCAATTTGACTTTTTATTTGGTCCTAATTATAAGACCCAATCCATTTTGTCTCTTATATTTATGTATTTTTTTTCAAGATAATCCTTTTAATAATGATAGTTTTAGCCAATATACTTAATTAGCAAGGATATTTTAGGAATGACAACACTTATTTATTATAAATAACCAACTTAACTTACTTCCTTAATCTCCTCAAATAAGTCAATTGGGTCTTATAATTAGGACCGGAGGAGTAGATTTTTTTTGTATGGTCAAAAGAAGGACTTGATAAAAAATTTACGCTTTATTATTGTCCACGTTCTGCGCATCATATATATGTGGCTTATTTATTATATTCTGAGT